ACGGGGTTTCACCATGTTGACCAGGATGGTCTCGATCTCTTGACCTCGTGATCCACCCGCCTCGGCCTCCCACAGTGCTGGGATTACAGGCTTGAGCCACCGCGCCCGGCCAGGGATTTTCTATATGGAAGAGGCTCCCTTTGGCTCCTCAGCTGATAAGATACCAAGAGACTTTCAGAGGCTGAAAGTGATGGTCTCTGTCCTCATCGACAAGGAACCTTTTCTCTCTGCCTGTATGTGTGCATGTGTGCATATGTGTAGCCCATGCATAAATAAAAACATTATGTGTATCTTGATACTTTTATCTATCCATTTCATTGGTCTTGCTCCTTGTCTTTGCTCCTTCCCCAACCCCACTCATTTTTCTCTTCCTTTTTTTCTCCCCACAAAGTCTTGCTCTGTCGCCAGGCTGGAGTGCAGTGGCGCGATCTCGGCTCACTGCAACCTTCGCCTCCCTGATTTAAGTGATTCCCCTGCCTCAGCCTCCTGAGGCTGGGACTACAGGCATGCACCACCACGCCTGGCTAATTTTTTTGTGTTTTTAGTATAGAAGGGGTTTCACCATGTTGGACAGGATGATCTCGATCTCCTGACCTCATGATCTGCCCCCTTGGCCTCCCAGACTGCTAGGATTACAGGCGTTTCTCTTCCTTTTATCTTTCTCCACCCTCACCTTTGTTTGCTTCAAATTACCAGGATTCTCTTAGGGCCCTGGAGAACATGCAAATTCCTGGTTAAAGTGAGACACGGGAGTGATGAGAAGATAACACCATTGTGTGCGCGAGTGTGTATGATTGGATGTGTAGACTGTGCCTGCGCCTTATTTATCTTTGTAGTTCTAAGTTCCAGCAGGGTAGAGTGCCTGGCACATAGTGGGCATGTGGGAAGTGGTGAATGACTGAATAAATGAATATCTGTGTGTTTGGCTAAATTAAGGTGGAAATGGGGGTTGCAGGAAGGGAAATTATGTCTGAACATCCCCATACTGCTCTATGGATGGGATGGAAAATAATCTAAATAAGATTTCAATGGGGATGAGTATATAAAGTTATTCTCCTTTCTTCATGAGTTCAAAATTCCAAATATAAGTAGGTTTCCTTTAAAAATGTAACTTTTAAGTTGGATTTTCCCAGAACTTTCACTGGCCCACATTAGCCTGGAGCTATGTGAGATCCAGCCTTCTATGTGAAATCGAGGGATTGTGTGTGGGTCACTGTTTTCTTACTTGTCTTTTTTCCAACCCCTTCTTGTCCCTGGAGTAGTTTCTACCCCTTGGTGTTCTGGGTACGGAAAAAAGCCATTGATTAATCCAAAGCAGTGTTTCCCAGCCCTTTCAGCCACTGGGGTTCCTGCTCACCTTTGGAAGTGTCAAGAAGGAGGTGTCCTCTTGCTTCAGGCTGTCCTGGAGGGGAGGCCACCTGGCCCCATCACTTGGGGCTCTCTGGGTTAAGTCCAGGCCTTCAAGAAAGGTGTTTCCCAACTTTTCTTGTCATGTACCAACCCTTTAAAACACAGAGCAGTCAATCTACTCCCAATTTCAAGCTATCATTGGCTCCTAAACTCTAACCTATTGGGTTGCAATTAAAATTTACTATCCAATTTTATACTCACAGACTTCAACTAAATTAGAGAACCATCTGGTGAATAAAGAAAGTCTTGTTTCAGAGCGGCATTTGCTTAGGCTAGGGAGGGTGGCAGGTAACAATGGGGAACTGTTTTGGATACTTCTTACCAAGACACTTCACTTCCATCTCCTTCCTTCATAAAGTGGGGAGAGAATTCCTACCTCCCATGCCCCAAAACACTATCCTGATGCACTAGATGTCTGGGAAATGGTTGGAGGAAAGGGATCCATGGAAAGCAGTCCAGGGAGTCTGAAAAGCAGGTAATAAAACTGTTGCCATTTAAGTGTGCACTGTGCGTGCCAGGTACTTTACATACATTATCTTATTTAATGTTCATAAAACATTATGACACAGACACTCGTATTCTCATTTTACAGATGAAGCAATAGAGCCCAGAGGTGATGGAGTTTTCCTTCACCTATGAGTCACTGTGGTCTCTCTGCTTCTAAAACCCATGCTGCTGAATAGGGTGCTATTTCACTGTAGGTGGCTTTGCTAAAATCTTCCTTCCCAGGGTCCCAGACCTGCTGCCTAGGAGGCATGTGCATTTTCCACGCAGAGAAAGTACAACCTCACAAGAAGCCCAGAGCGCATCCTCACACCAAGCATGCTCTCTGGCCAGCCCATGTCCTCTTTCAGCTCTCAAAAGGCCATCGTGCTAAACCTTCTGGTGATGCCCTCCCTTAGCCAGCCAGCCTGAGCTAGGGGGAGGCCCTGCATGGGAAGGCGTTAGAGAGACATCCGAGTTGGCTTTCAGACAGCTGCCAAGCCTAGGGGTAGAACTAGACATGGTGAAAGATGGGGAGGACGCATGGGCACATGGGAGCCTAAAAGTTTGGGTTTCGTAATCCAGCACTGCCCATTTCGTAATCCAGACAGGCTGCCTTGGAATAGCTGCAGTAGCTTCTCTGGGAGATTGTTAACTCACTCTTGCAGGATCATTAGAAGACTTAATTGAAACAATATGTGTAATGTGTAGGCACTGTGCATTGCACATGGTGGGTACCCAAGAAATGACATTATCTACTATTATTAGGACAAGTCGTAGAACTGCTCTTCTGGCTAATTTGAAGGACAGTGGCATGTGTATGAAGGGGTTGGTCACAGAGTTGGAAGACAGACAGATGGGCAGATTGAGGCCCAGGCTGATGGCAAGGTAAAGCTGTCCTTCCCTCATCAATAGAGGGGAGAACTGGGGCAGGTGGGCATGAAGGAAGCAGATGTTAGTCCCACCTTGGAAGTTGAGGGGTTCCCCCAGCAGGGGCAGTAGCCTGCGGTAGCCTGCTTGTGTCTGGCTGTTCCCATCTGTCTCCTGAGAACTGGCCCTCCAGGGACCAGCACCACAGTGAGATGAATGAAAATGGACCTGATTTGGAAAGACACGTGTTTCCTACAGCTTCCAGATCCATGGGAGCTACTGATGCCGGGCAAGTAGGAGGGGTTAATGAGAGCCCTTCTGTGCAGGATGCAGGCCCGGCTCACAGAGTTCTGCTATGGAAGGGGCCTCAGGACTCACTGGGGCAGGTCTCCTAGTTGAACTTCTCAGGGCAGGGCCTGGGTCTGACTGGACTCTGCTTCCCGCCAGCGCCTTGCCCCGAGCCTGGAACACAGGGAGTTGGTAATGAGGGGCATGAATGTTCTGCCACCCTCTGCAACTTTGGTTAAACAAGGCTTTCTCTGGCTATCTCCATCTTCCCCAGTGTAAAACCTCAAGAGTAGGGCAGGGGGATGTAGCAGCCATTTAGGAGCTGGGCTGTGCGTCCAGCTTTTCATACCTCTCTCCTTTCAGTTCACATCATGGCCTCTGGGGACAGTGAAACAAGGTGCCCAGTGCCTGGATTCATGACCTCCCTTTGCCCTTCTCTGTCTTGGGGCTTTGTGAGGCTCCTTATCCTCACAGCGTCCCTCATGGGGATTATAACACACCTACCTTTTTGGTGCTGTGTGGATTAAGTGGGTCAGTATTTCTAAAGCACACAGAACAGCAGTGTGGAATAAGATCTATATCAACATTAGCTATCATTATGTTTATTTTGCTGGTGAAGAAACTGAGTCTACTAAGGGCCCTAGGAAATGACTGTGTGACAGAATTAAACCCAAGCATGACCGACTCTGAAACCAGGTTCATTACTGCTGCATACATGACACTCCCTCTCAAAGAACTGAGGTGTCCACTCCCTCGGGAGACAGAGCCCTCAAGACGTGGCACCTCCCCAGGCTGCCCCTCCCGTCCCCTGCCTCCTCCAGCACCCCACTTCAGGAGACACACCTGCAGTGTTCTCAGAAGCACCCCCTTGAGGGTGGATCCTATAGCTGACTTTTTAATAAATTTTTTAGTTTAACAGAAGTATGCAACGGATCATGCACAAAACAACTTGTCAGCATGCAGCTCGACGACTTTTTCCCACGTGAACATGCCCATCAGCACAGCACCAAACAGAACATGACCAGTCCCCCAGGATTTCCGGGGTGCCCCCTTTTAGTTACAGCCACTTTTCTACAACCATTGATTAACTTCATCTGCGTTTTAAATCCTTATTTAAATGATATTCTATAAAGAGCATGCCCTCTTTGGCATCTGGCTTTTTTCATTCAGTGCATTTGCAAGACCCATCCCTGTTACCATGTGTAGCAACAGGTCATTCGTTCTCATCACTGTGTGGTATCCATCGGGTGGAATACACCACAGTTCCTCCACCTGTTCTCTTATTGCTGGACATCTAAGTGTTTCCAGTTTGGAGCTATTACTGACAGGATTGCAATGCACACCTTTGGACATCTCAGGGTGGGTCTTCCATACCTACCTGAGTCGTTGACTTGTGTTTGCTGAGTGGATGACACCCCCTTGCAGGGATCTCTCAATGAAAAGACAATGGAGGTGGGAAAATAAAACCATCTTCTTTCTCTTCCCCTGCATAGAGCAGGGTCTTAGTCCCTAAGAAAACATCAAGAGCTACAGTTTAGAAGTTCTTTAGAGACTGTTGGGCTCAATCTTCCCCCTTTATCATGTGGATAAATGTAGGCCCCCAGAGAAGGAAATAGACTTACCCAGTGTTACCCAGCAAGGTGGCATCAGAATCCACATGGAACCCAGTGTCCTGACTCTGAGGCCACTGGTGTGTCAATAGCACCCCGAGGGCTGGAGAGGGGTGGGCATTAGTTACTCCCAAGCTCAGGAATGGGAATTCTCAGTCAGGGTGTAAGGTGCTCTGCCATGACGCAGGGCCCCTTATCAATTCTGCATCAGGGAAGAGCTCTAGAGTCTGGCAGAAGTGAGTTCCATCCCAACCCTGCCATTTACTAACCATGTGATGCTCTCTCTCTGCTTCAATTGATTCATCTCTAAACCAGAGGCTGCAATGGAGGTTAATCAGATACTTAACTCACTGCTAAGGGCTTGACAGCATTAGTCAGGTGGACTGTGGCTTAAGTGGCAGGCGAGAGGGTCATGAGTATGGGCACAGCCATCCCGTGGGGAGGTCACTGAGCTCCCCACCCTGCCGATGGCATCACGACTCCTGGGTCTCTCTGCAGGTCCCAGGCTACCGGCAGGAGCGTGTGGAGAAGGGCCTGAAGCTCTTCGCCCAGCTCATCAACAACAAGGTGTTCCTGCTGTCCTTCATCCGCACGCTCGAGTCCCAGCGCAGCTTCTCCATGCGCGACCGCGGCAACGTGGCCTCGCTCATCATGACCGTGCTGCAGAGCAAGCTAGAGTATGCCACAGACGTGCTGAAGCAGCTGCTGGCTGACCTCATCGACAAGAACCTGGAGAGCAAGAACCACCCCAAGCTGCTGCTCAGGAGGTGAGGGTACAGTCTGGTGCGCCCTGCTCCAGCCCAGCCATGCACCTAGCTCATCATGCCTTGCAGGGAAACTGAGGCAGAGCTCCTAGGAGAGCAGCCACGTTCCCAACTAGCCCAGAGCCAGGGCTACATTGCAGCCTCCCTTAGAGGATCCTGTCCACTATCCTCAGGAGTCAAGGACGCACGGACTTGTCCGCTCACCCTCTTGTTCTCTTGCCCCTATATCGAATCTCCATCTTTCCTTCTCTGCCCTTCTACTTAATCTTGACCCTGTCTACTGCAGTCTCCTCTCATGGAATCTTCAGAGGCTACTTAGACCATCCTCTGGCCTTATCTAAGTCCAAAGTTGGATTAGGTAAGAGGACCCCTGGCCTCATGCCATCAGAGGGTCGGGGACAGCAGTGGGAGCACACTGGAGCTTCTTAGAAAAGCAGAATCGCAGGCCAGGTGCAGCAGCTCACGCCTGTGATCCCAACACTTTGGGAGACCAAGGCAGGAGGATCTCTTGGGGTCGGGAGTTCGAGACCAGGGCAACATAGCAGGCCACATAGACCTCATCTCTACAAAAATTAAAATATAAAAGTTAGCCAGGCATGGTGGTGCGTACCTATAAATTTTCAGCTACCCTAGAGGCTGGGGCAGGAGGATCCTTTAAGCCCTGGAGTTTGAGGCTGCAGTGAGCCATGATCTCACTGTTGCACTCCAGCCTGCACAACAGAACAAGACCGTGTCAATAAATAAATAAATAAATGCAGAATGTCAGGTCTCTCTCAGACCCACCGAATCAGAATCTGCATTTTAATGAGGAATCCAGCTTATCCCAACCCATATTAAAGTTTGAGAGCACAGAATAAAAGTACTTTAGTGGTGTCTCACCCCGTGCAGCCCAGCAAGCGTTTCCTGGCACCTGCTGTAGGCTCTAAATGGGCCCAGAGTCCACCACTCAACACCCTGGAGGCCTCAGACATGACACTGTTGAAACCTTAAAGGTCCTATGTCAAGACATAACCTTATCCTGTGGCTTTGGCCTTATAGGAAATAGGGACTCTCACTCTATCTGTGCTTCTGTGTGAACTTTCTGTATACTTGAAGACCATTTTTCCTCTAGGCCAAGTTATTCCCATGCCTTTGGCCTTGGCATATCTGACGTTAGAAAACACCCACGTCATGTCATTACGTCCAGCCCTCTGCCTAGACCACGCATGTACCGTTTGCCTGCTGTCTGCCTGTCCCCTGGACTTCCATCTTTGGTCTCTGGGTCTCAGGCTGGACTTCCGTGGCTCCCACTTGGTCCAGTGGGTAGATTTGCCTTTCAGAAGTGTTTACTTCAAGCTTTTTCCTAGAGCGGTGGGCATGTGCCTGCACAGCTGCAAAAGTCTGCTACATATAAGAGCTAGCTGACAGCTTTGGAAACAGCAAGGTAGATCATTTTGATTTTTGTTTTATTTTCACCACGCAGCCACCCACTGGCATAATTCCAGGGTTGCCACTGCCTGCCAGAGCTCCCACCGACAGCTTCCCGGCATGGTCTCACTCTGCCTCTGTGTCTCCTCCCGTTTTCCGTTCTTGCTCTCCTGGTTGCTCTTGCTTCCTTCTGCTCTCCTTCCCTTTCTTCTTCTTGCCCTGGCTGCCCACCTCCTTTCCGTATTCTTCCTTCTTTTCTCTTCCCAGCTTCGTTTTGTGCTGGCGGCCTCCCAAATACCTTGTGATTGTAGTTATTAACATTTTCTGGCAACTGCAGCTTGAAACTCTAACCAGACATACCTGGATGGGCTAGTTTCTCTCTGGAGCTGGCCGCATACTAAGTGTAAGTTTGAATGTAATTCGTTTTCTCTAAATGGATGCAACCGAGAATGTCCTTGGGCTGACTGCACTGCTGCTGCATCTTCACTTCCAAAGTCAAAGAATAAATGGGCTTGGGTTGTAGCACGAAAGACACAAGCTAGACTCAAGAATGAACTTTCTGTCATTGCAAATGAAACCCTAGAAGGGCTCCCAAGGGAAGTTCCAAAGGGTGTAGTAGCCTTTGCAATAGGACAGTTTCAACATGGCTTGGGATGAGCAGGGTATATGGCTTTCTGCTGCTCCCAGCGCCAGGGCCTGTAGCTCAGGCCGTAGGCTCAGATGGCCAAGCTGAGCTTCTGACACGGATCCTCCTCCTGCCACCTTTATTCCTATTCCCTGCCGAATTGGTACTTCCCCAGGGTTTGGGATTTTTTTTTCCCCCCAAAAGAACACATCTAGCCTATAAAGTTCTCTAAGGCTATACTGACTAATAGGAGAACTATGAACCACATGTGACTATTTAAATCTAAATTAGTTAAAAATAAATCGGGTTCAGTTCCAGTTCCTCAGACATGCTGGCCACATTTCAAGTGCTCAGTAGCTACGTGTGGCTGGTGGCTACCATATTCAATGGCACAGGTAGAGAAAATTTTCATCATCACGGGACGTACAATTGTACAGTGGTGCTCTAAGGCATTCCAGCCAAAAACCCACCCACAGCCTGACGCCCGAAATGTCATCTTCCAGCTTTGTAGGAAAAACTCATCTTACTGTTATGGGGGCGTCTAGGAGTCCATGAAACTCTTGTATTCATTAGGATCTCAAGGTTTGGCCTACACGCTAGAAGGAGCAGATCAATGCACATACTTCCTCCCCTGTCCTTCCCAGCCCATGGGCTCTGACTAGCTACTTCTTTCTTTGTCTTGTTCCGCTGGTTCCCTCGGTGACTGCTGACAGGACTGAGTCGGTGGCTGAGAAGATGCTGACCAATTGGTTCACTTTCCTCCTCTACAAGTTCCTCAAGGTAGGGTTGAATGTGGACGAATTTCTGGCCCTGCCTCATTCATTCTCTGACTGCGGATCCCTCCACACCCCAGTCCTCCCTTACTGGGAGTCCATGAACTCTTATAACCCCACAAGCAATGGAATTTGCCCTCATCATGGACAGCCTAGGGAGACAGATCCCTGCAGTCCATCGTAGCTGCAGAGACAGTCTTCCTGAGGCTGGTTTCCCCCTGCCTGGGGAGGGATAGGTGAGCCCTGAGAGGCTCTGCATGGTCCCTAAAGCTGAAGCCCCATTTGAAGCTAAAAACAATTTGCCCATTATTCTCTGCTTTCCCTCTTCCCTCTCCCAGCCCCAGATTTACTGAGGTTGATGAGGGCCCCAGGCCAGTGCAGAAGCCGCATGTTGCAACAGATAAGCCAAGGATGCGCCTGGGAGCTGGAAGAGGCTCAGCTTCCAATTATTAACTTATGTTCTAAGGGGTTCATGCCACCCAGGACTGACCTCTGCCTTTGGATGGGGTCTCTGAGAGAGCAGGGTGGGGTTGGGGGGGAGCAGAGAGGAGGGGAGGGGAGTGGGGGAGGAAGAAAGAGCTCTGGAGAGGCAGTGGTAGGAAAGGGCAGAATGGGAAAAGACCCCATGATCCAAAGAACCAGGAGGAAGGCCAACCTGAGGATGAGGAGCTGGAGAGAAGGAGATGAAGAGCTGAGGATAAAAGTGGGGGCGGGGGGGGGCAGGCTGAGGGACTTGGCAGGGGTTGGAAGCAGCCCTTTGGAGAGGCAGGGACTGGGAGCACACGCAATGTTCCGGGAACTCCTCCCAGTGAGGTTCTTCTCACCTCCAGGAGTGTGCTGGGGAGCCTCTCTTCTCCCTGTTCTGTGCCATCAAGCAGCAGATGGAGAAGGGCCCCATCGATGCCATCACGGGCGAGGCCCGCTACTCCTTGAGCGAGGACAAGCTCATCCGCCAGCAGATCGACTACAAAACCCTGGTGAGCCTGCCCATCTGTTTCCCCTGGGGCTTTGACAAGCGGGCTTCGGTCCTGGGTAGAACTGCTCAGCAGAGGCGGAAAGGCTAAACAGCTGTCTCTCCAGGTGTGTCTGCTATGTGGGCCCAGCCAGGTGCTCCCCCTGTGTCTATCACCCCAGACTTCCTCTGTTCTGTTTCACCAGGGCATTTGGATTTGGGGACTAGTAGCTCAGACACATTTGAGTGATACTTCAGCCGATGAAATGGGGGTTTCAGACCACACCAGTCGCAGGGTCGTAGCCCTTGACCCAGGTGAACTCCTATTCTGTCTTCCCAGCTTAGAGTCAGTGCTTTACAGAAGAGGTCCCTGCAGGCAGAGAGTGGGGGACAGAGAGGAAGGGAAGCTACAGAGTTTCTCATAGTTCTGAAGCCCACATTTGCCTTCTGCTCTAAGTTCAAATACAACTCTGGCCCCAGCTGTATAATGCAAGGCCAAGATGGCCTAGTGGCGCAAGGCATGTGCTGAAGGAACATGGGGATCCCCTCCAGCAAGGTCAGACACCCTCACCTGACAAAAACAGCTACCCTAGGAGGCACAAAAGCTTAGCATTCAAGAGCATGGCCTTTGGACTCAGACCTGGATTTGAGCCCTGACTCTGCCTTTGACCAACAGGGTGAATGGGGGCAGGTCCCTAACCTCTCTGAGTTTGGGTGTCTTTATCAGAAATATTGGGAACATCAACAGAACTGCCTAAAGTAGGGATGACTGCAGTTGTTCACAGTGAAGTTGTGCAGAGGATCAAATGGGACAAGATGAGCAGGCGGTGAAGCCCGCGTCACAC